GTGGAGGTCCCCTTTTTGTGTAAGGGGATGTGTATAGATGTCTGGTTGTCAAGGGGTGGACTGTGATGGCTAATTCTGTGTGTCGATTTGACTAGACGACGGTGTCCAGCAGGAGCTCTGGTGGCAGTGTGGTTCTGTGTTGAGGTGCCGACCACAAAGTCAGCAGTTTGACTGAAACCACCAATTGCTCTGCAGGAGAAAGGCTTTGTGCTCCTAGGAAGGAGTTACAGACTCGGGAAAGCCACCGAGGAAGCTTTACTCTTTCCTATTGGGTTGCTGTGAGTCAGAAATAACTCAGTGGAGGTGAGATGGTGCCTAGCTGTTTGAGCAAGCCCAAGTCTAGATGTTGCTACGATGTATTTGCATATAATTAGTATTTACAACCAGTTGACCGTAAAGCAGATTACTCTCCACCATGTGGGTGGGCCTCATCTAATCAGTTAAAGGCTATAAGTGTAGGAACAGGTTTCCTAAGAGAGAAGGCATTCTGCCTCAATACTGTAACATCGATATCCCACTGAAGCTTCCAAACCACCACCTGACCTATGGACCTATGGAAGTTTCCAGACTGCCATGTGACCCACAATCGTGGTAGCCAATTGCTTAAAATCAATTCGTCAATACCTCCCTCTTGCATATGGATGTATATTTATATATAGGTCCATCTGATCGGTCCTGTTTCTCAGGAGGACCCTAACTAATAGGTGTTTTGGCGTGAAGTGATGTCACTTGTCCAGAGAACACATGTTTTGGTTTGGGTGGGATAGAGGGAACGTGAGGGGCAGTGGAAGGAAGATGAGAGATCTGATGACAAATGGCCTTGCATTCTAAGCTGCCCTGGTGGCACAGTGGTTAAGTGATCCCCCTACTAACCAGAAGGTGGTAGTTCAAACCCACTAGCTGCTGAGTACATGAAAGACCTGGTAGCCCGAGTCCATAAAGATTTATAACCTTTGCCCTATAGGGTCACAAGGAGTCGGAATAGACTCCGTGGCAAATAGGTTTGGGGTCTGTGCTCTAGGGTAAGGAGGTCAAGCTTCACTTTTGAATCTCGGAGTCCAGGGGCAGAAGAGGTGTTATTAAGAATTCAGGGAGCCGGTGGACGTCTTCCTGGAAGATCGGATGTTTGAGCTGGACCATAAAGAGTGCTGAGAGCATCAAGTTTGAGGACTGCTTCTGGATGGGCCACTTCACTCCCAGGACCATAATGAGAACCGTGGAAGGCCTCTGCTGAGCAGTTGTGTGGTTGTCATGGCTCTCTCTCCAGCTGTACTCCTGGACTAGCAGGAAAGCATGAGGAATCTCTCCCAGCATAGGTCAGAAGCAGCCCCCAGAGGCCAGGACCACCACAGATCGGGGTCCCATCTGAGGTCCTTTAAGACACTGCTGCCCCCTCTTCCCTCTACCCTTCTCCCATGGCTACAGCTGCCATAGTTCCGAGTCAGAAGTTCAAAGTCAAGTTCTGATGGCGGAACAAAAGAGCGAAAGACTTAGGTGGCAAAGATAGTCTGTGGGGTCTTCAAACCCAACAGACACCTTTCCCCCCTCCCCCAACCTAATGGACTCAATGGTGTGCTGTGGGACCATCACCAAATGTCATGAGACGGGCCTGGGTACAAGTTCAAGTTTAGCCCGCCATTGTCTGAGTCCTTGAGAAAGCAGCTTCACCTCGGTGTTCTTCACTTGTAAATGGCAATAACGGCATTCACTGTGGAGTTGTCCAAGCATCGCATGAGAGCAGATGCCCAACAGGTCTCTGCTCGCTTTATTCCAGCTTCCTCCCCCCTCTCCTCCATCCCTTCCTCTTTCCTCCAAAGTGTTTCTCGGAAACAGCTCTGAAAGGGACCCCATTGGAAGGTCCTAGGCGGAATGGGAGAGAGAAACGTGCAACATGAAGTCAGAATTGAGGAAGAGACCAGGCTTGCTGGTGGGAGAGAGACTGGTGGAAGCCTTAAGGCCATGGCCTTTAGTCACCTTCCTGGTCTGGACCTGAATTCAACGCCCAACACTCCCCCTACCCTGCCCCGGTGGCTCCATTTTTCAAACAATAGAAAGGGCAAAACCTTAGAATAATCAACCAGTGAGCTCAAAAGGGCAGCATGCACCAAGGACAAAGTACAGGAAGGTCAGGAAAGGTGGGGGGAGCGAAGACGGAACACCCAGGGAAGAAGTGTGGTGTGCTATGGGTGTGTGGAGGGGGGCGGGGTGGATTGCAAACAACGCCATGAAGCAAGACGTGTGTGGATCACAGGGTGGAAGGCCGACGTGCTCAATGAGCTCCTGCCGACTCCCATGAACGTGGGAGAGGGAGAGTTGGATGGAAGACAAGCTCAGGCTCGAAGCTATGTGAGGAGCTCCCTAACCTGGGCGAGGGGCACATTCTAGACTAGACACGGGACGGCACATCTGGAGGGCAAGACCAGATTGGGCAGAAACGACTGTGGTGGCCCACAGGGTGCCAAAGTGAAGAGGCTGGCTGGCCTCAACAAACGGTCTACACAGGGAGAGAAGTGTCCGTCCCCTAGAGCGGGTTGGCACGGGTCCAGCTGCAGAGTGAGTTGGGGGTCCTTGGTGGCTGCTCTGGGCTGCTCTGCTGGCCGAGAAGAGTGGAGGTGTTGATGTGGGAGTGCTCCAGAGATACTCCAGCCAGGCATCAGGCACAGGCCTCCCTACAGCGGCAGCAGTCAGGGGAGGCAGGACTCCTAACCTTGTAGTCGTGGCACACTGGCGTCCTCTGCAATAGAAAGGCTGAGTCCTGTCTGCTAGCACTGGTCAGGGTGGGCTGGGTGCTGCTGTAGAAACCAACAAGGCCCAGGCTCAGCCACCTGTAGCCATGGCTATGTGCAGGGTGGACCCATCTCACCTTGGGGAGCCTCGTGGCTCTGTCCTGGTCAAGCCTCCAGTCTGGGTGGGGAGGCTTCAGCGTGGGAGTCCTTGGCATCTCTGAGCACCATCCCTCGATTCCAGCACTGAGGGCAGGTACAGCAGGTACAAAGGTGTGGGTAGGTGTGTCCACCTATCTAGAGGACGGGGAGGCGGGTTGCGAGGGAGCAGGAAACAAAGAGGGCCAGAAGAAAGGTTGAAGGAGAGGGAGAGAGAGGAGGAGGAGGAGAAAAGAGGGGCAAGGTGTGATCACCGCCCATCCCCAGGTGGCTGGTCAGGGGGCCTGGTCGGAGCCTATTTCCCAGGCTACCGCCTGGGCCTCACCTTCCCTCTGACCCGCCGACCGTGGGCAGGGCCAGGACGGATCGGGGTTCTGTGCTCCTTCAGAGTGGCCCTGCTTGCGGCCCTGCCCGCGTTGGCACGGTGACAGTAGCCAAGTGTGCAAACTTGTGCCATTGTCCCCAGGCCAGGGGGAGCCATGGAGACTGGCTAATATGACACAGGAAAATGTTTGCTGATGGCAATTCTATGGGCTTTGTCCACCTCTTTCTCCATCACGACGACTCGATTTAAGTCCCTAACTGTTTGACTACAAATGCGAGGCGACCGTGCAACGCCACCCTTTTGTCCGGCCGCACTGAATGGGCAATTCAGGCTTTGTGCAGCTCAATTGAGGAAGCAAATATAGAGACAGGATTCCACAGGGCCCCGGCTCCCTTCCCATGGATATCCCTGTCCTGGCGGCCACCTTTCCGACAGCAGCGTGCCCGCCGGGCGAGCAGGAGACCCAGCGAGTGGGGCCACTCAACACTCAAGGGCAGGGAGCGCGGCCCGCCCCGGCTTACCCCGTCCGATTGTCCGTCCGCACTGGGGCATGGCCGTGGGGAACTGGCAGGCTCAGGGGAGGCAGCCGCCCCGCCTGGGACTGGGGCTCCGGCTCCGGCTGGGCCCAGCCAGCCCCCTGCTCAGAACTGGACATTTTCTGCACGCTCGCGCGCACGCACACACGCACCACCCCCTCAAGAAACCAGGGGACCGAGGTCAAGGGGAGGAGGGGCGTGGAGGCCGAGCGGGGGTGGGTGGGTGGGGGTCCCCGGCTGAAGGGTAGAAATGTACCGGGAAATGATTGCATTTGGGAGCTGTCTGTTTTGTGATGGTCCCCATGGTGACAATTTGTGACGGCAAAGAATGTGGGAACGGGGCGCTGCCGCCTGCTTGGGAAGCTTTGTATCTGGAGAGGCGCTCCTGATTGGCCTGAGGGCCCCCCAGCCCCGGGGACGTGTCCTCCATTCAGCCCACTTAGGGCCGCACAACCGCTTCCCGCGACTGACGAGCTCAGCGGCAGCCGCGCGGGGCCGGCCCA